CTTTCCGCCCTATCAAAATCTCCTATATCATTAAGGGTAGAAAAGACATGCTCCACCGACCAAAGAAGTGACTCGGGATCCGTGACGGATGGCAGATAGTGATAACGTGTACATACCCTACATACACTAACTTGTTGAGACATTCATGTATTAAATCATATTTCCAAGTCGCATGGTTCTTGTTGGATTTTTTTGTTTTGGGGGGAGGGGGTCAATACACCAAAACCCAACTACAAAACTTAATACAAAGATACTTAAAACTTATTTTCTTCGTTCTGAAAGTGGAGCAAGATAAGGGAAACATCACGAACAAAGCCACCACTTCAAAGCAGCTCTTGCATTTGATTTGTCGGCCTACCTTTATCATTACATATTAGGGATTCTGATGGCAACTTATCTCCACATTCTGGTCACTCTGTGTGAGGAGTCGGGAATGAGGAGTTGTGTCCTAGCTCACGACAGCTTCAAGGAATCTAGCGTAGGCGCCAAATTAAATGAAAAACTAAGAACTAAAACGTCAAGATTAATCCACATAATCCCCTGTAATATATTCACTAACCGACTATCATCAGTGTAAATAGTCAAAAGTATTTTTAAATATACATACATACAAAGCATTTATCTCCAAACAGTTTTATCTCTTGTTGTTCTGAACATTGTAACTCTAACAGTACACATAGTCACACAGTTTCTCCAAAACTTACCAATATTTGACACCAAATCAGGTCACGTAACCAAGAAAGGGAGTGAAGGTGAGGAAATGTGTGTGTGTGTGAGGGGGGGGGGGGTAGACAAGATGGAACGTGGAGCGTACCACTAACGACAAACTACTGAAACGTCAGAAAGGAACAAACCACACAAGATCATCCACCAACCACCCACAATAACGACTTTGAAAGGTCAGAAAGGAGCAAACCACACCAAAGCATCCGCCAACCACCCATTTTAACGACTTTGACACGTCAGAAAGCAACGACCCGCACACACGTGCTCGAAGAATGTGACAGAGAACAGAAATCCTGATGGATGAGGCAACCCCCACAGACCAGCGTCAAACCAGATTTCCAAACCTCACTAAGTAGTTGCCGCCTGGCCATCAATTCTTTCTGTCAGATATAGTTTTAATAAAAGGTTGAAAAACAAAAACTACCCCCCCCCCCCTAAACCACCGGATTAGTTCAGTTTTTGCAAAACTTAAAACGGCACTTGCTATACAAATAGGTTATAAAAGTGCCAAGGCTAAGAGCTGTCACTCGAGAGTAACATGCAAACAAAAGAAGGAGATAATGATACGATAGATGCTTGATTGGGAAAAAAGAGCAAAATTTCACGGAGAGCCGAGAATGTCTGAATGCTCTTGAGTCTGTTGGGGTCATAATATAAATTGTAAAGCGCCCAGAGCTTGCTGTTGAGCGGGGATATAATAATATGCCCTATACAAATGCCACTTATTACAATGATGATGATGATAATTAGACCGCTTCAGAGCGCCCACACCGAACTTCTGGTGTTGCGATTACGCACTTTGCTGTCGCACACAGTAAACACGAGTATGATTCCTTCCCGAGAGGGGAGAACTGTTATCGAGTATCTCAGGTCTTTCTGCTAGGATGTTGTATCCCTCTCAGCCCGGGTTGGAAGCCCGCCTCCTAAATGATCTAGCCAGATTGTGCCGAAGGAGGCGTAAGAAACACACGCTACATAACCAGTTTTTAAGAGCGCCCGCCCGCCAACCCCCCACCCAGGGTCCCCCTCCATGCCCACGTCACGGCACGATGGGTTTCTGCAGAGACTCTGTCGACCTGTGTCTACGGACAGTGGGAAAAAAAGGGTCCCATGGCCTCATGA